AGTCATCACATGCTCCGTTAGTCATCAAAGGATTCGAGCGAACATCGGTAAAGTTTCCATTCGTCCTGTCACCATTGAATTCAGCCCAGTCACTTGGGTGAGGCTTCTCTGATTGAACTCAGGTGAGGTTTCTTTTATTTGAGCGACACTATGATTTTCGTACCTATCGTATCAACGCATGTTATATTCTTCGAAAAGACATCCACAGCTCGACAATCCTCATCATGGGATCTAGAGATACATACTGTTAGTTCGTCGTACTCACCAAAGTGCGCATGGACCCTGTCTGTTTCATGTAAACAAAAACGAGCTCCTTTTTACTACCCAGCCACCAATTTCAGGTTTTTACCAAGTCGAAGCAACCTCCTCTTATAAGCCTAGGTGTATGTATATGAATTTGCTTTAATGTACACGAAAGGTATAAATTCGTCTAATTACCAGTTAGGATAGAGGACCTACCGGTTAACTCTTAGTCGAGGCAAGTGAGTGACAGTTTTTGGTCCTTATTGATGTCTCTATTAGGAGCATAGAGAAATTCTACTTGGCCTAGCGACTCCGTCAGCTTTGGATCTCATACACAAGCAAACGTGAAACGTTTGAAATTCTCATTTTGCTTCATATGAAACTGCGTATTGATGAATACCTTGAATATCAGCAACCTCGGTAGAAAACTCTCTTTTCTTTGGCTGTACGTTTCCTATGCTGTCATAGCTTGGAATTTCACGAGCGATTTCGAACACTAGGACTTATTACTCGAGTGACGCTAGCCGTTGTCGCAGTTTTTTCCTCGTCACCTACGACGACCCCTTCCCATTGTTTCGTATACGATAAGCACCATCGCTTTTTTGGCCTTAAGTGCGATTCAATTGTTTTGTGTGCACAGGGTCATTTTTTCTACAGGTCATTATTCCTGCCTACTTTAAACAATCCTGTCGACATACTGTGGAATTGTTATATTACAAGATTCCTATAGTTATAATGAATTCCTTATATGAGCTTTATTTTCATAAGTTAGTTACCTTTTTAGATTCAGCAAATAAAACACAGTTGATGTTTTCTCAGTTTTAATTTGAAGGAAGCTTGAAATTTTTGATCGTCTTCGGTTTGACGGATGTCCGGAACTGAGATCGGCGAACTGTTCGAAAGTATTTTCGACTTCACTGTGATTGTTGAACTGTCTTTCCATCAAAGAATGTGTAGAATGTGTTTGAAGAAAAGCGATGGCCAAACAGTTATTGAGACAAAGCTTTACGAGCTTTTGGCATGAGTTAACTATTCGAGGGACCTGTCGTCGAAATTTCTTGCTATAGCTACTCGGGATTCATCTTCGACGACTTTTTGAAGATCTTGACCAGCGGGTGAAGATCGCACAGTACTTTGTTTCCAACCTATCATCGTAGACTCGAAATTTCTGGAGTCCTCTGTACACCGCCCGTTCGGACGCTCTATCATTTCCTAAACTTCAATCATATTTCTGCCTTCTTACTTTACTTCGTGCCGGGCCTTGAACTCTTAGTGCCAAACAGTTCTACAACATATTTTGCCACTCACTAGTTCCTAAAAGGATTTATGAGTGATAAAAAGTGATACTAGTCCAATATACACAGTAAAATTGGTTCAACGTAACAAATCAAATCAAAATCATATTGGACTTTCTAAGATCACTTTTTAAGCGCAGGAACTCGAGAACATGAAATATAACGGCTGTTTTCAGTTTTTCTTCAGTTTCGTACAACCAGCATCTGATCGAAATTGCAATATTAAAGTTCACTTAGGGTTTCTTTTTGTGTGGGAAGCTTAACACTGCTTTTTACTGTGGTAATTTTTACTCACCAACGGATGTCTCCAGTTCTGCTCTGCGGAAACAACAAAGTCTGCTGCTGTCCCAATGTCTAGAAAATCGACGAAATTGCTTGGAATCATAGTTTGAATTGTGCAGCTCTGAAATTTAACTCTTTCGGAAGGGAAAATTAGGCAGTCCAAGTTGCAGAATGACGAAACAACTACTGTAGTCTAGGAGTTGTTCTTGCCAATCATCCATTACATGACTAGTAGGAGCAAACGTTTTTGAAGCAAAATGCTACTTTGTTTTTACATTGCTGATATTAAACTGTGTGATGGAAACTATTCCCTGCTCCTATCAGCTACTGTAGTTAAGACATGAGCAACATTTTCCCTACTTCCAGACTGTTCCATTGATCAACATCCATTTGTTTGTAATAGTTTGCGCCCGGGTGAAGCGATTTTGGGCCGGAACGACGTTTCTCTATGTACGGAAAAATTAGTAGTAAGTAAAAAACACTACAAACACAAATATTATGTGAAACGAATTCAATACGATGATTTCACCGGTGTAAGAATCGATTATAATCACTGATTTTTTCCGTCGATTAATTCAAAAATCGGAAACGATGACGTCAATCCACTGCATTTTATGCCGAGATCACATTTAACCTGAAAATTGTAAACTTAAGGAATCCTATCATGTCGTAAAGGTGCCCAAAATAACGGCTACCGTTGTAGAAACGTTTCAAGGAATCAAGGCCACTATTTTAAACACATTTTTACAAAAGTCCTTTTTGAGGGATCAGTTGTTCATGGGGCTTCATTTTTGTGCTGTAAAAAAGATCCCACTGAATAAGTTGTTTAAGCCAACAAATTTGAAGAGTTAGAGATTAAGAGAGAGCTCTGCATCTTTCGTCATAGTTTTTCTATGCTTCAGTTGTACTTCCAGATTTTCGAAGTACTTTCACAATGTTCGATAAGTTTTTCACGCTCTTTGACTTCCATGTATTGTGGCTTCAATGTGTGTTGGTTTTCTTGTCATGAGGTGTTCATGCAAATTTGGGGGCCACAATTACTGGCAGCCTCGGACGAGAGGTGCTTATCGTATGACCTCTCGCTAGAAGCACTCGAACTATTCATTACGTTTGTTATGTGCGTTTTATGGCATGCGCACTGCAGATGGCTATCAGACAGAGAACAGTTCATCATTTAAAAACCGATTTCTAATTTTCATTTATGCGTATCGCACATCCGATCACAATCATATCTGCAAACATTACTAAAATGGTTGAGAATGAACTTTCTTCCTCATATGTGATCCAGACGAACCAGATGTTTGAAACAATAGAGCTCGAAGCAAGGGATCGACAACTATCGACAGCAACAGCTAAAAGAACTCGTTATGGTTTCATGTTACTGTTACTTAACGTCAGACATGATTTCTTCTTTGAAGAAGCACTTGGGTTTAGATTAGTTCAGATTCATTACTGATCCCTTGGGCCTTCTCCTCCCTCCCCAAAAAAGCTGTGCATAGACCTGTGGAGGTCAAGCGTTTGTGTTTGTGTCTGTGTGACTGAATATGTATATGTATATGTATATGTATGTATGTATGTATGTATGTATGTATGTATGTATG